TGATTGGACAAATCTGTGAAGCAATTGAAAGTCACTTTCTGTGAAGAACTGCAGCTTTTGCAAGCTCTCTTAGACTATACCCTCAATGAATACATACATACAAATATGTATGGATGTATTCACTAAGAGTATAGCTACTAAACTGTGTTGTTTTTTCCAAATGTGAAGTGGTTCTTTAAGGGTCTGCTAATTATAAGAACTACCTTATACTCCATACCACATACTGAGTAAGTCTTGGTAAAGTGCAAGGCAGACAAAACACAAAGACTGTGAGAATTATTATATGATTTTATTTGCATTTAGCCACATTGTTAAAATTGTTGCTCTGGATATTCACAGTATAAATAACTAGTTCTAGAGACATTGGGCAGCTGCTTCAGTATATTATATCTTATTGCTTTGAGCTGCTTTACCCTTTGAACAGGCATGTTTCTTCCTTTGACCGCTACGCCACATCGTGTGTGCTTTGTTCATCGCACCTTTTTAATACACGACAAACTTATTAACCTATTGCTGCTTTAAAAATTGTTATGCTGCTGCTACTTAATATATACTGACAATCCTAGTGAGTTTATGTATGAGATGAACACACATTGAGCCTTTGATTTAAAAAAAAGAAGTCAGAAGCACAGTTTAATTACATAATTTCTTGTTTCTTTCAGCTATGATATCCGCTGGGCCATGGAAAAGACCTGCACCAGCTCTGTTTTGCCAACACAACAAATATTGAGATTCAAAATTATGATCACCCTTATTAGAGCTTCTCTGCTTAAATTTCTCCTCTTCTGGTATTATATTATTTTTTAACTGTCTTCGTATACTCGCTCCTTTCAAATGTAAGATTTTGCTAAGTTTTCTTACTTTTGCAAACTATATCAGAATAAAGAGCTCATTGTACTTTCTGTGCATTAATGTATGTGTGCAGTTCTCATGTCTTATCTAACCAAAAAAAATAATCAGGATTTTCCTGGTTGGTTGTGACTCAACTGAGCCTTTAGCTGTATCTATGCCTTCATGGTTTTCTGTATAACTTACAGAATACAATGTATGTGTACATCTATTTATCTATAATCTCTATGTACACAGACATCGTACAAGGTTTAACATTTCAAGTCCTATGTTACTAGCCACTGGTGTTATGTAGAAGGGGCTGAGAGGGAAGATACATTAATTGGCAGAATGTTGTGAAGATAATATTGGTTAGTGTGAATCAAACATAATTAACATGGTTATTTACGTTATTTACTCAAGTAAAGTGAATTTAAAATGTAAGGCCAGTGTAGCTGAACTGAAAGCATAGTTGACTGTGAGAATTTTTCCAGTTTGGCTATTTTAACCTCAAATTTTTGAATTTCTTGAAAACACTTCCTGCAATGTATATTTCTCTTTTTCTTGCTTGGTGGCTCGCTATGATGTTAATATACATATATTATAACTCTTGTATCGGTTAGACATATCAGTACTCAGACGACTTACATTTTCTGTAGGTTTATTCTGCTTAAAAATACCAATATATCTTACCGTATTATTGAAAAACAATGACAGACAGGTGTTTATTACAAACGATGTAAATGGAATGACATGTAAACCGCCTGAATGATACTGCGGCTTCTGCGCAAGCCACATAACTGCATGGCACAATTATATCTGTCATTGACAAAATAAAGAATTATAAAAAATTTAAAAAAATACCAATATATAACAAAATAAAGGATTTTACAGGATGATGGATATTCAACAGCAGATGTTAATTGCTGGACTCTTTGTCCAGAAAATCCGAGAATGCATAAAGAGTCTACCCCAAAGACTCGTTATATAAAAGGTGTATGTGATTAAGCCGGTCTTACCATTTATATGATTCCTACTGGTTCAGAAGCAGAATTCTCAGACAAAAGGCCATGTGAATTACTGATACCATCTGTAACTTATGCTCAATCCAGACATCCATATCATGTGTGAAAGTGTAAATAGAATATACAATACTGGACAAACACGCAGTATTTACTTGCGCTTTTCGAACTTATGTTATCTTATTTGTATGATACTTGTGATGTACACAAACAACTGTACTACTACTTCTTTTAATTTGCTTATCACAGCCCTGATTGGCTATAACGTTGACTGTGCATTCAGATATTCGGGACCTATTCAGCACGGTTTTATGAAGCACAGGTCATGTCAAACTAACTTGATTGCGTTCTACGAAGAAGTAAGTAGAAGTATAGATCAGGGTGTTGCAGTGAATGTGATCTATTTGGATTTTGCCAAGGCATTTGATACAGTTCCAAACAATAGATTAGTGTGCAAACTCAAGGAAATCGGTCTAGATGAAAATGCTTGTTCTTGGGTAGAACATTGGCTTAAAAACATAGTACAAAGAGTTGTCATTAATGGTAAATTTTCAAGCTGGACAGAGGTGGCAAGTGGTGTCCCTCAGGGGTCTGTTCTGGGACCCCTTCTATTTAACATGTTTATAAATGATCTTGAAGACAGCATTGAAAGTCATGCAGATGACACAAAACTCTGTAAAATAATACAATGTGAACAAGATATTACTTAGATAGACTATTATTTAGATAGACTGGGGGACTGGGCACTCAAATGGCAGATGAAATTTAATGTTGAAAAATGCAAAGTTATGCACTTCGGCGTAAAGAATACACAAGCAACGTATACCCTTAATGGAAGCGAATTAGGGATAACAACACACGAAAAGGACTTGGGGATTGTTATAGACAACAAACTATGCAACAATGTGCAATGTCAATCAGCAGTGGCCAAGGCCAGTAAGGTATTGTCATGCATAAAAAAGGGCATTCATTCTCAGGATGAGAATATAATTTTGCCTCTTTATAAATCACTGGTATTGCCTCTTTATAAATCACTGTGCAATTTTGGGCACCTGTTCTAAAGGATATTATGGCACTAGAAAAAGTGCAGAGGCGGGCTATAAAATTAATAAAAGGAATAGAACATATCAGCTATGAAGAGAGGTTAACAAATTTAAACCTATTTAGTTTAGAAAAACATCGCCTGAGAGGGGATATGATAACATTATACAAATATATTCTGGGCCAATACAAACCATTGTGAGGAAATCTATTCACAAACCAGACTTTACATAGGGCACGAGGTCATGCGTATAGACTGGAAGAAAGAAGATTTCGTCTAAGGTAAAGGAAAGGTTTTTTTACTGTAAGAACAATCAAGATGTGGAATTATCTGCCTGAAGAAGTAGTTTTATCAGAGTCCATACAGATGTTCAAACCGCTACTAGATGCATACTTGCAAAAACAGAATATTCAAGGATATAATCTTTCAATGTAGGGTAATAACTGCTTGATCCAAGGATAAATCTGACTGCCATTCTGGGGTCAAGAAGGAATTTTTTTCCTAGCTTGTTGCAAAATTGGAAGTGCCTCAAACTGGGGTTTTTTGCCTTCTTTTGGATCAACAGCAAAAAAACAAATGTGAGGAAGGCTGAACTTGATGGACGCAAGTCTCTTTTCAGCTATGTAACTATGAGCTGCGCGTCCTGTCGCTTTGTTTCATACAACTGATACAGTTGTATACAACTGGTACAGTTGGAAAAAATCCAATAAAACTTTATTTACAATGTAACGGATCACCGGGCACCCCGACTGGGAACCTCCGTTGACAGATGCTCCTAGCGCTTCCTGAGGGCTCCAAGCGCTCCACCAGACACCATAACCACCGCAGACACCACGAACCGCCGCAGCTTGGTTGCAGTCTCACCGTCTCCTACCCACCCTGGACCTACGGTAAGGCTCCAGGTTCCATTGGGTGAACCTCTCTTTCCCCAGAGAGTAAAGCAGGAACAAGCTCTTAAAGAGCTTAGTGATTATCCAAGGGAGTATGAAGAGCATAGCAATGGTGTTTCCCCCAATAAGAGACAGGACTCTAAATTGAGGGTGAAGTAGAACTGGTTTAATGAGCACACAGGACTTTCTTTTATACAAATTTTCCCACAAGGTTACCACCCACATACAGATTGGGCCAGTGGTTTGGGAGAGAGCTGGTCATATTTGACCAACTGCAAGCATGGCTTTCATGCCCAAAATAGTTCCACAGATTTAGGCTGTGCAGCCTTCTCCTCTATCCTGGAGATAATTGGCTTAAGTGGGTGTGGTAAGCCAATTATCTCCAGGTACAGAACATATCTCTAAGTCCAAAAACTGTTACAAAAACTACATTAAAATACATAACTCCTATAATACAATGTTTAACCTGTATGTCCAACATATCCCCAGATAGCTTGGATCTGAGCGCTCAATATGTCTGAAAAGCGCTCAGATCTCACGAATACAGTTGGATCACCATGGGGTTAAACAATAGCAAGGGCTGAGGAGAGATTAAGGAGGGACAAAGCAGCCAGTTTCAACTGGTCTGGCAGTGTCCCTGGGACAACGCTCTGCTGGAGAACAATGGGACAGGAAAAAGGGGGAGGAGAAGAGGCACATTCTCCCATGGAATCAAAGGGGCAGAAAAAGTGTTTTAAAATCCAATAAGCCCAAGTAGACTTTTTAAATGGAAATACACCCCAGGGGAATGTTCAAATCCAAACAATTAAGGCAAAAGATGCAATCCAGGGACAGAGGGTTCTGTCCCAAGTGCCTTAAACCCCAATAAGTTACAGGGGCCATAATCACAGGGCAGGAGGCGGGCAAGCAGGCCCCTCCAAAAAGTCATGGCAAACTCCCTTAAAAGGGGGAGTTTGTCACATACAAATTCTCAATTTAACCCTGAATAACCTCCGCACCCTCCCCCCAGCCTGTCCGTCCCATCCCGCCATCCCCTGGGGCGGCGGGCCAGCGGGGCGGGGAGGGGGGGCAGGGCCCCCCGCTTCCGGCAGGGCCGTCAACCGGGGCGGACTGCTCTCAGTGCGCCACAGTCGCTCCGCGCCACCGAGGCGGGAGGGCCCATGTACCGGTGGGGCCAGGTAGGTGACCCGACCCATCTTGAAACACGGACCAAGGAGTCTAAAGCGTGCACGAGTCGGAGGGCTCGCAGCCATAACCCGCGGCGCAATGAAGGTGAGCCTTTTTGGCACCCCAGTCGAGGTGGGATCCCACCGCCCCGCGCGGCAAAGGGTGCACCACCGGCCCGTCTCGCTGGCCCCGTCCGGGAGGTGGAGCGTGAGCGCGTGCAATAGGACCCGAAAGATGGTGAACTATGCCTGGGCAGGGCGAAGCCAGAGGAAACTCTGGTGGAGGTCCGCAGCGTTCCTGACGTGCAAATCAGTCATCCGACCTGGGTATAGGGGCGAAAGACTAATCGAACCGTCTAGTAGCTGGTTCCCTCCGAAGTTTCCCTCAGGATAGCTGGCGCTTGTCACGACGTAAACCTTCGCAGTTTTATCCGGTAAAGCGAATGATTAGAGGTCTTGGGGCCGAAACGATCTCAACCTATTCTCAAACTTTAAATGGGTAAGAAGCGCGGCTTGCTGGCTTGGAGCCGGGTGTGGAATGCGAGTGCCTAGTGGGCCACAGAACTGGCGCCGCGGGATGAACCGAACGCCGTGTTAAGGCACCCGATGCCGACGCTCATCAGACCCCACTATAACGGCTTAAAGCATAGAATTTTTAGCAGGGCTAACCGTACAGCTATCTTTGCTATAATAAGTTACTAAGAGTTCCTCTCTTTAAGATATATAAAAATAGGGATGGTCTTGGAAGCAATAAAGTAGTCTTTGAAATAATAATATATTAAATAAAAAAACATAAAAACTTAATTCATTATAATGATCTATAGCAGAGTTTATAAGATTAAAATATGTTTGCGATATCTGTAAATTAGAATAACATACCCTATTGAACAATTCAACCTCTGTCTTGATAAAATGGAGCAGCATCTCTGCATATATAATTCTCTCCACTGGCTCATTTATACCTCAGGTTTTCAATTGGGTCATCTTATGAAATACCTTAACTTGGCAAAGAGAAGAGGCCATAATCATTAAAGGCCTTACCTATGTCATGTACAACCTTACGTTTTAGTCTAAACATAGCCTTGACTTCTTAATCAGTCTATTGTCATGACCTAGACATCGTATCTATGTTTAGACTAAATTGTAAGGTTGTATATAATGTAGGTAAGGCCTTTAACGATCGTGGCTTCTTCTCTTTGCCAAGTTAAGGTTGCTACACACCTGTGACCTAATTGAACTTCTTAATCAGCCTACGGTCATGATCTAGACATTCTATGTTTAGACTAAAACTTAAGGTTGTGCATGATGTAGGTAAGGCCTTAAATGGTGTTACATTAACCTAGAACCAAATGGGTTCTTAGTCTAAACATCTTCACGTATCTGGGTAGGATGTCAGTTTGATGAGTAAAGGAACACTGTATGAAAAACTATTTTACATTTCCTTTTTAAAAAAAATAAAAAAAAATTTTTTTAAAGGTGTATCAGTTTACAGTGCATCAATACAAGGCCTGTGTAGGCGGTAAGAGTAAACAGACATTGGCATGGAGCAAATGAATGCAAAAAAGATGTCACATTGTCTTTAAAAAAGGCTACTTAGGCAATAAAGGAAAACATATGCATGAATTAGTAATAAGAAATTTTGAATGGTTGGGGGCATACATTTGACTGATATATTGGTAAGTGAGCAATATTATATGTCATGAACAATCAACCCACAAATCATTCCACAAGAATGAGAAAGAGTATGAAGATATCGATATAGCAGGTGAAATTTAAGTTGTGATATTGAGTGAACAACCTTTGAGTACTTTAATCAACAGGAAGAAATAAAAAAGGATAAAGTATGGGGATGAAGTAAAGAGATCGATGGCATTACAGAGTGTATTAACCAGAGTAATGCATTTGCAAAAAAAAAAATCAAAACAAGCTCCATTTAGTACTTGTGGCTAACTTGTAGATAGATTAACAGACCCTCTGATTCATCTCCCCAGCACCAGCAACCAGCACCTGTAAACAGACCTCCGGCAATTGTATCCTTCAGACGCAGGCGAACCCAAGCACTCAGATCAGCATATACTGCTTCACTAGCTACAGCAAGTACTTCAACTTAAATAGGTGCCCTTGAAGGCAAAGCATAGTATAACTATCATAGACCAGCATTTTACGGTTCAGCATTTCATAGGTGTCCTTGAAGGCACAGAACAGTTAATACCAATCATCTTGATTTATCCTTCTAAAGCACTTTTATACTGCTTTGTGACAGCTAGATTCTGTTTACCTTAGCTGCCCTCGAAGGCACAGATCAGTTAAATACTAGCAGCAGTATCAACCTGTACTCTGGTAGGAAAACAGTGATCTAGGACACTGACAAGAGATAGCTATCCCTACCTCTATAGACTCCTGACAGGAGCCTTAGAAACCTTACGATTTCCTACCACTATTTCACCTACCTTACTACAACACATCAGTGCTTTATTGGTCTATTTATACCACTCAGTTCTTTTTAGGACTCTTTTGTACATATCTCTAGTAGCTATGCACAGAGCTTGAGCACTGTTTAGCCGAGGGCTCTCCCTGGCACTCATAGCAACGGTATAACATTTTTTATAGTGACACCTCTTCCTTACACTGTTGCAACTCCACTCTAGTGCTACCACTATGTGTACATATGTATATTTTCTATTTATTCTTCCCCCCCCTATTTTTTGTTCAGCACTGTATATAGTCTGATTTAACACTTAGCAACATTTAGACAGATTTTTTATTTATTCTAGTGTGGTTATACTGCCACTTTCTGGCCATACTATAACCAATTTTACTGACTGCTAAAATAAGTTATGTTTTTTCAATATATTTGGGCTAAGAAACCTTGTTTCTTTCCATTTTTTTCAAGTTATTTACTCCAGGGTTCATGCCCTTCCTTCTTAGCCCACAGACCCCTGACTCTCTCACCTCCTCTCTTTTTCTAAAGGTCAAACATAATAGAGAATACTTTGCTCAATCAAGTTGGTGACTTAATGAAGAGTTGTTGAGGTAAACAACAACAGTGCTCCAAATATAATACAAATGCAACTAAAATTAAACTCCAACCAAAATAGGGAGAAACAATGTTATTAAAACAAACTTGGTATTCGAACAGTAATATAATTAATAAACTCCTCTCTGATAAATGGAAATGTAAAAAAAAATCTGGGGCGTGGTCTGGCTGCTGACCAAGATGGCTACGTGAGTTGTTAGCTCTTCACGCTCGAACACCAAACAGAAATAATATCTCCATATTGCCCAAATCTGACTGAATATCTGGTGTCTAACATCACTGCACATAATGGCACAGAGATCCTCTGAAAAATAGAGACAGAAATCAGCGTTAAAAATCTCAGCCTCGTCCTCACCTTGTACCCAAGATGGCGCCGGCAGTAAAAGATCTCCGACCTCCTACTCGGATCGTCTATATATCTATACCCACCTGTATTCCAGCGACAAACTCCTCTAACCACAAAGACTGACAATCCTCCCTACAAGCCAAATATGTCCGGACAGATATTGAAACAATTGAGGAGCGAACGACACATCTGGAGGGAAAAGTGGAGGAACTAATAAAGGGCCACTATTCCCTCTCAGAAACGTCTTAACTGCAAGCGAAATTTGAACATCTCAGTGATAAGATGGTGGATCACAGAGATAGATATAGGCACAGAAATGTACAAGAAGTACCACCACAAAGCCTCCTGCTTTACACTACAGAGCTGTTAAAGGCTATGGTTCCTGAACTCACCCAGCAAGACCTTTTGCTGGACCGTATACATAGTCTGCCGTGGCCAAAAATTTTACCAGCAGCTGCGCCCAGAGATGTGATTACTAGTGCTGTCCCGAACGGTTCGCTGAACGGTTCACGAACGGTTCGCCACGGACTCATCATTGAGTAAACTTTGACCCTGTACCTCACAGTCAGCAGACACATTCCAGCCAATCAGCAGTAGATCCTCCCTCCCAGACCTTGCCACCGACTGAACAGCTCACTAAGAATGCAGCTTCAAAATGGATGCTGTCCAGGAGGTGGGAGGGTCTGAAGGCTCAGAATCACACGTTATAAAAAAGAAATAAATAAAAAATAATAGACGTGAGAAAGAAAAAAAATACATAAACATATCCCTATGCTATATACCCAATATTATTAAAATAATGGATTATAGATGTATAAAATATGGCATCAGTAATTAAACAAATACATTTATTTTGGCACGTAATGTTTTAAAAGGATCAGCTGGTTAAATAACAATAACAGTAATTGCAATCGTTACAAAACACAGCTTAAAACCAATTGTACATATAGCTTCTAACAGGAAGAAAGAAAGTGAGTTTTATGCAGTTAGAGACGGCTACTCACATTTGCCTTTTGTTCCCAGTGGAACTCTTATACTGCAGCTGTCTCAAGTCGAGATTTGTGTCTCCTCCACAAAGAAACATTGCTCAGACCTTGTGGCTATTATGTTCCAAACTGCTTGCTCGGGTGCTTTCAATCCACGGGCTGATAATTGAGTTCAAAGTTGGTGGGACTTTCAGTCTGTCTCCGCCCACTTGATTACATCATTCAGTCTAAACGTTTCGTCTATTGACTTTGTCAGGATGTTAACCCCTTAAGGACACAGCTTCAGAAGCTTTACATAGCCTTAAGGATACAAGCATTTTTTGCGGTTTGTGTTCCTGCAATTTGCCTCTCTCTCATTTATTGTACCAACATATATTATTTACTGTTTTTTAGACAACAAAAAGGGCTTTAATTTGATGTGACATATATAAATTCTCACTTATTACAAAATAATGGGAAAAAAAGCCCCCCAAGTTTTGGCAATAGTAACATGTGCATTATATGTCCAGCTTAGGAAAAGTAATTCGAAATCAATTAATTTATGTGTCTTGATTTACAAAGTACATAATATGTGTAGGATTTCAGTTTTTTTAAAGTTACAGGTCACAAACTACAAGGTCTAAAATAAAATTTCAATGTGAAACAATTTTAGACGTTGGTATGTTTGTCTATAAAGTAGACATCACAGGCTATTTACCTAAGGTTATTTTGACACTTTTTTATGTAGCCATTTCACCGCCAATCTCTGCTAAATATTGGAGTAAAATTGTTTTTTTTTCTCTATTTTGGCATATACACATACAACAAGGTTTTTGTAATATGTAGTTTGTAAAGCTAGTGTGTGCTATCCCTGTACAGAACCCCATATTTTGTTCAGCTACATCTGCTGAGTACAACAATACCCCCATTGTATACCTGTGCCCCTATTCTGTGAAGCTACAATGCCATATACGAGACCATGCTATTTCAGTTTCTATAGTTGGAATTTTCATATATGGTCATATGTCTGATTTTGTGGTATTATAGCCATTTGACTGTTCAAATAACCCCACAAAGGCCTTCCATTTGAGAAAGCAGACACTCCAGGGTATCTTATTAGGCATATATTATACCTTAACTTGCCACCATTTTTTCACCAGTTTATTTCAAATTTTGTGGTGAGAAAATGTTTTAAAAATATTTTACATACATGTTGCATTTTCGCTGGGTATTTCGTACATTTTATAAGTGCCACTGTCATAAATTCCCCCTAAGTATGCTCAGTTACCTCTTCTGAGTAAATCAATATGCCCAATGTATGACCTATACACTATTTTGTGAAGTTACAGTGCTGTAA